AATAATAGACATATGGGCAAATAGATGTAGAAAGAGACATAGAGAGACAACAACAAAGAGGAGTACAGCACTCGTGGAGAGAAACACTGATTATGACTGACAGTCAATGAGAAAGTACCCTGGACATGGAGACTCAAAGAAATAAAAAGGTAGGGAGAGAAAGCAGAGGAGGTTGTCAGGGGTTATCTTCAGTCTGATCCCCTTATGGATATACTACTGTTTAAGGTCAGTATGAGTCACAAGATTGGCAGCTTAACCCCACCAGCCGCTATTGGGAAACCCTACAACAGAGTCGCTGACTTGAAGAAACTTAACAACCCAAACAACTTGGACAGTGGTCATGTTCCCACAACAAATAAAATCCTTCTTGCATTGCTTTTGTTTATAACAGGTTAGAGATTCCAGTCTTTGCATTTTAAAAATGTTTTTGTCCTGAATACAAGCAATTGTTGAAACATCAAATATTTAATCAGTTCCTAACAAGGAGCTCTGGTAGTGTAGTGGTTACGAATCGGGCTGCGAACCTTAAGGTCAGCAGTTCGAAACTACCAGCCGCTCCGCGGGAGAAAGATGAGGCTTTCTACTCCCGTAAAGATTTACACCCTCAGAAACCCTGTACAGGGTCGCTATGGGTCGGAACCGACTCGACGGCACTTAACAACAACAACAACAAACAATAACAACAATAATGTACCAAACACTTCCATAGATTCTTGGGGTGCATTGGTGAGCAAAAACAAAATATTTCTGGTGGGTAACACAGAAAATGCAAACGGGCTTCCAAAAGTTCATGGCAAAATACAATTAAAAGACAATAGAATTTTTCCACACAAATTTTTAAGGCTTTTCATACAATGCAATAGCAGGAAATGCTATGTGCTGCTTTTTTTAAGTAACAGTAATGAAGAATTAGAGTGGGTTTTTTTAAAATGAAGGTTAAATTACAGACCTGGACTTTACACCAGTTTAAACTGGTTCAGTCATGGCCTATGAAGTAAAAATAGAATAGACCCATTCTTATTTTTTAATGTGGGTGATCAGGAACCCTAATGGGAGAAAGTATGGGTCAAAACCCTAGACTATGAGATTTAGGAGAGGCACGTTGAGCCCTTTCAGAGCCCGGTGTGAGAGACGATATCATTGCCAGGACTGTGGAGAGTGACACATATTCACAGCAATGTGGTCAGCCACCATCTTTGAGTCAGGCACTGCTGTTTTCTAGTAAGCAGGTCAATAGATTTGGTTGCTATGCAACGTGCATGCTGCCCTTGGAGATTAAATTTTTCTAGCAGGGCTTTGAGTAGATTTTTCCCATTCTGGTTCCAGTTTACCCACACTGTAAAAATTCTGATTGGTTCTGATGTTACTTTGTTGGCCATAACTAAACCAGTTCAACTCTGTTACAGACAATACTTGGGGAAGGCCTGAGTCTCTGAGCTTTACCAGAATTCTGAATGAAGTAACAAACTCATGAATATGGCAAATGTGGAAGCCTTCCAGGTCTTGATATGGACAACATTTGACAGAGTCAAATAGCATGACTGCATTTGGGTAAGTAGAATGAGGAACGGTAGAAAGCAAATGCATAGAGGAAGGCCTGACTGGCTTTGAAAGCTGCAGTAGGATTTGAGTTTTATATTAGTGTTTTAAAGATTGAGAGCAAATACCTGCCATGGTTTTGGTTTGGTTTTTTTAGTTATCCATCTAGTTGTTTTGTGGTTATTAGTTGCTAAACATATATAAAATAAAATCAGACAGGCAATTTAGGGAGTTATTATAATAGTACAGAGAAGAAATTCATGGTGAAATAGATAGCTGATGGAGACAGGGAAAAGTGATCAGATTCTGAATATGCTTTCCACATGAGGTCTAGGGGTTTCTTGATGGTTTCGATATGAACTATTAAAAGAAGTGGCATGGATGTAGCTAAATTTATGGTCTGAGCAACTGAGATAATGGAGATTTCATGTAATGAGATGGAGAAGTAAAAAGTCTCAAGTTTGGGCTGAGGAAGTGGTGTCCTGCACAGCTGAGTAAAATGGAGTTCTTCTTTAATGAAATAGAGAAGTAGGAAGTCATAAATTTGGGATGAGAACTGAAAGTGCAGTTTTAAGTAAAAGTTCCTTCTTGTTGTTGTTAAGTACCATGGAGTCGGTTCCAACTCATAGTGACCCTGCACAGGGTTTCCAAGGCTGTAAATCTTTATGGGAGCAGAAAGCCTCATCTTTCTCCTGAAGAACAGCTGGTAGTTTCAAACTGCAGACCTTGAGGTTAGCAGCCCAATTTGTATCCACTACGCTACCAGAGCTCCTTGTTCCTTACTAAATATCAAAAGTTCCTTACTAAATATCAAATGGAGATGTTGAATAATAAGTTGGGTAATAACTCACGGTGTCACCCCTCCTTTCAAACCAGACTTCACCAAATCCTTAGTCAAGTTTATTACTGATTTTACACATAAAATAATATGTGATAAGTATAGTTACAAATTGCTTAAATAATGTTTCTTAGATTATATGAAAACTAACAATAAAATTGTTTAGTAAAATCTTTCTCCATTGAACAACATTATTAGTTACATTATTAGTAACTGAGCAAAAGCCTTTTTCCATTTTTCTCTTTCTTTTCCTTTAATCACTATTCCTTCTCAAAAAAGTTATTGCTATGGGTTTATGAGTTCACAGGATCACTGACTATAAAACCCCAGCAACATCAAAAGCTCACATGATGAAGCTACATGATCTGAAGGATCATGGTAAAAACTGGATACTAAGGACAGTTCTGACACACTAGAAAATTGAAAAATTGAATTTATCACAGAGTTATAATTTAGCTTTGTAGGCATATTGGTACATGTAAGCTGGGCCTACAAAGTATTTTTTCTTGTTATAGCTATAGGAATACTTTACAAAAATAATAAATTTCTGCTGAAATTCTGCACAAGACTTTAATAGACAGTAATTTTGTTTCTATCCCTCTGAGAGTGTCACCCAGAGTATTCTGCATCTCCCATATCTCCCTAGTGATGTCTCTGGTCATGGGCTAAATAACATGTCACAGGAAGCATAGCTGGAAAAGAGAAAATATCCAAGGACTGAGTCCTGAAAAACATTCAGAGGTCAAGTCAGTCAGAAGGAGCACTAGCAAAATAAAGAGGAATGAGAATAAAGTCAATGCACAGATCTTCAATTAATATAATTCAAATTGATTACATTATTTTTGCTGCATGCAGTAAAATATGTATAAATACCATTGTGAGGTGCTTTCCTGGCACTTGATAAATTTCAGCAGAGGACTGAAGACTGCATATTTTTTGTGAAGTTTATTTAAAACAGAATTGTGTTAGTTTGTATTCTGTATCGCATTCATTCACGCCACCTTTATTTTTAAATGTTTATTGAAAGTAATAACACTTCATGTAGTTTACTACTCTTCAGAGCAAAATTTTAACCACAAAGAGGACTAAGTTAAAAGTAAGGAGATACTTTAGAGAATTGTGCATATGATATTAAATGTTGAGAGAAAATGACAGTACATATTATGGAATTTTTTTTTTTTACTGATATCTTTAAAAATTAGAAACACAAGTGTATAATCTGGCCTTGCTGTTAACCATCACTAATTAAAAGTCATTTTCCTTCTCACTTTTATAACATTGTCAGTTCTATATGGAAAGGACTCCTTCTAAAATTATGCATGTGCTATTATTAAAGATTGCAATAGTAAAAAAAAAAAAAACACCTTGCTTTGAGGCTATAAGTTCTTGTTATATTTTATTCTTTATGTTAACTCAGACCTTACACTGTACAATATTTTAAATACCATATGTCCTTACATAGATTTGTCCCAAGTTGGTTTTGCAGAAATAGATTGCAGGCCCCTAAATGATAATAGAGCATCTACCTTGTTTTATGGAGTCCTGGTGTGGTGCTGCAAGATAATGCACTGGACCGTAAGATCAGTTTGTACTGCAAGGTCAGTGGTTCAAACCCACCAGCCACTCCTCAGAAACCCTATACAGGGTCGCTATGGGTCAGAACAATTCAACGGCACTTAACAACAACAACACCTTGTTTTTTTGCAATAATGGGGACACTAAACAAAGGAAAATATTTAAAGGACCATGATAGCGAAGGTGGACACAATAAGGAGGCTGTAGTAAGTATAAAAGAAGCTCTAGTGGTGTAGTGGGTTACAAGTTGCACTGCTAACCACAAGGTCAGCAGTTCGAATCCACTTGCCACTCTGTAGGAAAAAGATAGGCCTTTCTGCTCCAGTAAAGATTTATAGCCTTGGAAACCTTATACAGGGTTGCTATGAATTGAAACAAACTTGACAACAAGGTGTAGGTCCCTGGGTGAAGCAAACAGTTGACACTGAACTACTAAACTGGTGTGGCATTGTGGAATAAACTCTAAACTGCTAACCACAAGGTTGGTGGTTCAAACTCACTAACCTTTCCTTGAAAATCCTATACAGGGTCACCATGAGTCAGAACCAGCTTGAAGGTATGCAACAACAAAAGAACTAACGTAAATGTTGGTGGTTCCAACCCACTGAGCTGCATGCACCATGGGAGAAAGTGCTGGTGATCTGCTTCTGTAAAGATTACAGACAAGAGCACCCTGTGGAGCAGTCCTGCTCTGTAACACATGACCAACGGATAGTAAGTATCCACAGGTTCGTTTTTTTCTCCCAGTACCACACTGGGATTTTTAAAAATGCTCAAAATCTTTGAGTGATCTAAAAGTATGCTGCTGTTGTTGCTTCAGTTAAGACTCATAGCAACCCTGTATATGGTTTCTGAGGAGCAGCTAGTGGGTTTGAACCACCAACCTTGCAATCAGCAGTCCAGTGCTTATCCTCTAGTGCCACACCAGGACTCTAAAACTATGCTACTAATTGAGGTTTAAGAAATTTAGAGGACATCTTAATCTGAAAATTTATGTAGTTATTTACAAAATGCCAATGTCTTGTCGTTGCAGTTTTGGAGAAGGAAAATGAAAACTCCAGGAAGAAAAAATCACTCTAATCTTGTTAGTGAATTCATTCTTCTTGGATTCCCTTGCACCTCAGAGATCCAGCTCTTCCTCTTCGCACTCTTCTCTGTGACCTATGTCCTGACACTAATTGGAAATTTGTGCATTATATGTGCTGTGAGGTTAGACCACCACCTCCACACCCCCATGTACATCCTGCTGGCCAATTTCTCCTTCCTGGAGATCTGGTATGTTACCTCAACAGTCCCAAATATGCTAGCCAATTTTATCTCTGAGAAAAAAACCATCTCTTTCTCTGGTTGTTTCCTCCAGTTCTACTTCTTCTTTTCTATGGGCACCACTGAGACCTTCGTCTTGTCCATCATGGCCTTTGACAGGTACTTTGCCATCTGCAGGCCCTTGCATTACCCTTCCATCATGACAGTTCGACGCTGCATCAGAATGGGGACCTGTTGCTGGGTGTGCGGCTTCTCCTGCTTCCTCCTGCCAGTTTATCTTATCTCCCAGCTTCCTTTTTGTGGCCCCAACACTATTGATCACTTTCTATGTGACCCAGGACCCCTCATGAAGCTGTCCTGTGTACCAGCTCCTGCCACTGAGGTTACCTGTGCTGTCTTTAATTCTGTCCTTATTTTTTCCACTTTCCTCTTCATTACCACCTCCTACACTCTGGTGATAAGAGCAGTGCTGAGGGTACCCTCAGCAGAAGGACGACATAAAGCCTTCTCAACATGTGGCTCTCATCTGGCCGTAGTCTCCCTGTTCTATGGCTCCATTATGGTGATGTACGTGAGTCCAACAGCAGGCAATCCAGCTGGGATCCAGAAAATTGTGACTTTGTTTTATTCCGTGTTGACTCCGCTTTTCAACCCCTTGATCTACAGTCTCCGGAATAAGGAGATGAAGGAGGCCCTGAGGAAACTACTTAGGACTTTGATATTCGCTCAGGGACAGCCTCTCAAAAACTAGTATTCAGATTGTATGTATGTGTAGGACATATGCTACCATCCTTGTTTCTAAAGAACATTCTGACTGAACTTCTTTTAATAAGAATTTCTTTATTCTTCTGACAGTATAGGATATATTCGATATTTTTCACCAACATGGTAATTTATAAAATGAATTTCTAGACAAGTTCAATCTTTTCTCCATTTACTGTGATGTTTATTGGCCCAATTGTAAGGATTTTTGTTTTCTTTATGTTGAGGTACAATCCATACTAAAAGGTATAGTCTTTGATCTTCATCTGTAAGTGCTTCAAGTTCTCATCACTTTCAGTTAACAAGGTTGTGTTATCTGCTTATCACAGGTTGTTAATGAGTCTTCCTTCATGATGTTACCATCTTCTTTATAGAGACAGCTTCTCAGATTTTTATTCTGCACACAGATTTAACTAGACTGCTAACTGTAAGGTTGGTGGTTCAAGCCCACCAGCCACTCCTAGGAAACCATATACCCATATGCCCATGTTGTTGTTGTTGTTAAGTGCTGTCGAGTTGGTTCCAACCCGTAGTAACCCTGTATAGGGTTTCCAAGGAGTGGCTGGTGAACTTGAACTGCCAACCTTGTGGTTCAAACCAACTTTACAGTCCAACACAGCACCATACCAGGACTCCCATATGCCCATAGAATCCTTCAATGTTTCAGCTCAAAGTATGAATTTTTCTTTTTCAGTTCAATCAGCTTGAAAAATGCTGAGCATGTCCTTGTCTTCTGGTTTTCCAGGGCTTTGCACCATTTTAGTATGATGTTTTACCTTGTCTTCTCAAACTACTCATTGAAATTTTTTCTTCAGCTCTTTTACTTCAGCATTTCTTCTACTCGTTTTTACTACTCTGTGTTCAAGAACAAGTTTCAGTCTCTTCTGACCTCTGTTTTGATCGTTTCTTTCTTGTTGTTTTGTTGGTTTTTTCTGATGTAATATTTTAAGCATTTTATTGTGAATTGGGTAAAGATTTACAAAGTAGGTCGGTTTTGCATTCAACAATTCACGCATATTTTGTTTCATCTCATTGATTGCAATCCTAATACTGTAATATTACTTATCCCACTTCCTCTCTCTGTTTCTTGCTTCCATTCCTCCTTCTTCCTAATGCTTCTGATGTTTTTCCTTGGGTAAACGCTGGTCTTTTGATTTCAAATGGTTGACCATTCTATGATGTGAGTATCTCATTAGTGCTATTGTTCCTCTTATAAACCTGTCTATTTTTTGGCTGAAAATTGAGCTACAGGATTGAGTTCATTTCCAGACCAGTAGAGTGACTAAGGCCTCTAGTTTCAGTGGTTCCACTAGTCTTTCTCCAATCAGTAAGTCTTTTTATGATTTTGAGTTTTGTTCCACATTTTTCTCCAATGATATCTTGAACCTTCTAAGGTGATCCCTTTCAGAGCTGTTGGTAGTGGGGACCATCTAGTTCTTCTGGTCTCAGGGTCATGGAGACTGATGTCTGCATGGTCCATTAGTCCATTGCATATATTATCAGGAGGAAACAGTCCCTGGAGGACACCATGCTTGGTAAAGTGGAAGGTCAGCACAAAACAGGGACACCCCCCCACCCCCAATGAGACAGATTGACAGCAATTATGAGGATGGCTCAGGACTGGGCTGTGTTTCATTCTGTTGTACATAGATTCACTATGGTCAGAATCAACTCGATGGCACATAACAGCAACAACAAACATCTTTCTAGTATTATCTCCTTCCAGCCAAGATCCGTTTAATGTCACCAATAAATATCCCTCAGCCTATGTCTTCTTCTGAATCCAGCTTGACTTTCTGAGAATTCCCTGTCTGTATATGCTAAGTCATTTTTTAATTATCTTCAGCAAAATTTTACTTATACATGACATTAATTATATTGTTGTGTTATTTCCACATTCCATTGGATCACCTTACTTTGGAATGAACATAAATATGAATCTCTTTCAACCTGTTGATCAGATAGATGTTGGTAGTTGGTGGTGGTGGTGTACCATGGAGTCAGTTCTGACTCATAGTGACCCTGCATAGGGTTTCTGAGCTGGAAATCTTTATAGGAGCAGAAAGCCTCATCTTTCTCCCGAAGAATGTCTAGTAACCATTCTCCCGAAGAATGGCTAACCTGACCTTGAGGTTAGCAGCACAACTCATAACTACTAGCTACGAGAGCACCTTAATTGACCAGTAGTATGCCACGGAGGTGGTTCTGACTCATAGTGACCCTGTGTAGGGTTTCCAAGACAGTAAATCTTTATAGGAGCAGAAAGGGTTTCTGAGCTGGAAATCTTTACAGGAACAGAAAGCCTCATCTTCCTCCTGCAGAATGGCTGGTAGTTTTGAACTGCTGACCTCGAAGTTTTCAGCCCAACTCGTAACCACTACTCTACCAGAACTCCTTAATTGAGCAGCTAGCTGTCTTCAAATGTCTTGGTGCAAACAAGTGAGTTCTCATTAGTTTAAAGGAATCTGAATGATTTTTATATATTGATCTTAGACTCTACCACTCTGCTGAATCTTTCAATGACGTCCAGTCATTTTCTTGCTGAGTCCTTATAATTTTCCATATACAGTATCATATCATCTACAAATAGAGAAAGTTTTACTTTTTATTTGCCAATTTAGATGTCTCTAATTTCCCTTCCTTGCCTTATAGCTCTGACAAAGACTTCCAGCACAATATTACATTTGTTGTTGTTAGGTGCCATCGAGTCGGTACCGACCCATAACGACCTTATGCACAGCAGAATGAAACACTGCCCGATCCTGGGCCAACCTCACTACTGTTGCCACGCTTGAGTCCATCGATGTTGCCACTTGGCCAATCCATCTCGTTGGGGATCTTCCTCTTTTTCTCTGACCCTCCACCTTACCAAATATGATATCCTTCTCCAGTGACTGGTACCTCCTGACAATATGTCCAAAGTATGAGAGACGATGTTTGGCCCTCTTGGCTTCCAAGGAGCACTCTGGCTGCAATTCTTCCAAAATGGCACTTTCAATATTCTTCTCCAACACCATAACTCAAAAGCATCAATTCTTCTACAGTCTTCCTTATTCATTCTCCAGCTTTCACATGCATATGGGGGTGGTGATAAAGGGCATCTTCATCTGGTTCCTGTTCATAAGGGGAATACTTTTAGTTTCTGTCCATTGAGAGTACTGATGGCTATTGACTTTGTATGTATGCTCTTAATTATGTCAAGAAATTCCCTTTCTATTCCTATTTTGTTAAGTCTTTATCAGGAATGTGTGTTGGATTGTGTTAAATGCCTTTTTTGAGAATGCCATTGTTTTATTTTTGTAATGAATTACATTGATTGCTTTTTTAATACTAAATAATCCTTACATGCCTGGTATGAATCCTACCTGAATTTTTTTTTTTTTTTTTAAATACATTGTTGGGATTCTATTGGCTAGGATTTTGTTGAGAATTTGTGCATCTATGCTCATGATGGATGGTCTATAATTTTCTTTTTTAGTGGTGTCTTTGACTGGTTTTGTTATAAGGATTATGCTCACTTCATAAAATGAATCTGGGGATTTTCCCTCCTCTTCTGTGTTCTGGAATAGTTTGACTAAAATTGGTGTCAACTCTTCTGTGAATGTTTGGCAGAATCCACCAGTCTAGGCCCTGACTTATTTTTGGTTGGAAGTTTTTAGTAACCTGATCATTTTCTTCTTTTGGGATAGGTCTGTTTTCTAGTTCAGTCTGTGTTAGTTTAGATAGGTAGTTTGTTTCTAGAAATTTGCCCATTTTTTCTAGATTTTCAAATTTATTGGAATACAAGTCTTCATAGCATTCTAATATTATCCTTTTTATTCTGTTGGTTCTGTTGTGATGTCACCCAGTTCATTACCCATGCTGTTGTTCACTTCTTCTCCTTTTCCTTTGCTAGACTGGCAGGTGATTTGTTAATTTTATTAATCTTTTTAAATAACCAGCTTCTTGTCTTTTTTATTCTTTGTACTGTTTTTCTTTCTTTCTTTTTTTTTTTTTTTGCTTCATTTACTTCTGCTCTAATCTTTATTTCTTTTCTTCTGGTGGCTATAGGCTTACTTTTCTGCTTTTTTTCTGTTGGATATATCCAGTTAGATGATGAATTTGGTTCTTTCTTCTTTTTGAATATGCATGTTTATTGCTATAAATTGTCCTGTGAGCATTGCTTTTGCTGTGCTCAAAGGTTTTGGCATGTTCTGTTTTCATTCTCATTTGCTTCAAGGAACATTTTTATTTTACTTTTTAAATTTCTTCTATTACCAATGCTCCTTGGAAGCGAGGATGGCAAGACTTTGCCTGTCATACTTCAGACATATTGTCAGAAGAGATCAGTTCCTAGAGAAGTATAACATGCTGAGTGAAGTGGAGAGTTAATGAAAAAGAGGAATAACCCCAACAAGATGGATTGGCACAGTGGCAGTATCAATGAGCTCAAGCTTAACAATGACTGTGAGGATGGTGCAGGACTGGGCACTGTTACATTCTGTTGTGCATACAGTAACTATGAGTCAGACTTGACTTGACAGTAACTAACAACAGTAGCATTACCAAGTAGGTTTTCACAGGGTATTATTCAATTTCCATGTACTTGATTTTTTTTCCCTTGAGTTTCCTGATATTGATTTCTAACTTTATAGTGTTGAGATCTGAGAAAATGCCTTGTAATATGTTTATAAATTTACTAGGGCTTGCTTTGTGGCCTAACATATAATCTTTTCTGGGAATGTTCCTTATGCACTGGGGGGAAATGCATATTGTGCTATTGTTGGTTTGAGCACTCTGTATAAGTCTATAAGATTAAGTTTTTTGATTGTGTTGCTTAGTTCTTCTGTGTCTTTGGTGAGTTTCCTTCTAGTTGTTCTGTCCTTCATCAGAAGTGGTGTCCTGCAAAGAAAGAAGAACATCCTACTCTTATTACAGAGTTATATATTTCTTTCTTCTATTTTGTTGAATTTGATTTATATACTTTGAGACTCCGTCATTGATAGAAAG